ATTAATCGCTGGCTATAGTTGGTCATTAAACAGTGATCTTGTGAGTCACTGAGGCACAGTAAAGGCTGCTCCGGGTGATAAGTTTAATGGTAAGTCTTATATAGTGTTGTGTTGTATTGTGTTGCTTTCTTGTGTTATATAGTGCTGTGATGTGATGTGTTGTGATGTGTTGTGCTGTGTTGTGATGTGATGTGTTGTGGTGTGTTGTGCTGTGCTGTGATGTGTTGTGATGTGTTGTGCTGTGATGTGTTGTGCTGTGATGTGTTGTGCTGTGATGTGTTGTGCTGTGATGTGTTGTGCTGTGATGTGTTGTGTTGTGATGTGTTGTGCTGTGATGTGTTGTGCTGTGCTGTGATGTGTTGTGATGTGTTGTGTTGTGAGGTTGACGGCCTGCAGCCCCTGAAAGGTCAGTGAGTCAGGGCACATAAAGCATAAATTAATATATTATCTCTCTATATATATCCGCCTTATGAACACTTAACTACCTCTTGCATATAAATAACTAAATCCTCGAATCAATAATAAACCCGCCTCTCGGATTAAACTAAACTCAGATTAAACACGCTGATAACACACAGGTGACCCCGACCACTCCTACTTCACCTCTGAGTTGATAAAGGTTGCCTACACCGGGCGGATCTACCTGACGAGGCGGGGGAGGGAGAGAAACGGGGCAAGTCAATTTACCTGTTACGTTACCTCTGACATTCACGACTCTCTGTGTGTGTGTGTGTATGTGTGTGTGTGTGTGTGTGTGTGTGTGTGTGTGCGTCAAACCTTCTGTAAACCTAAGACCCACAGTGAAGCCTTAAGGTATAGAATAACACCCCAAATGCTCCTAATATCCGGTTCCTTTATACTCAGGCTGTTCAATAGATCCTTTACTGGTTTAAAATGATCAATGTACCGACCTCCAAATCACCAAGTGTGCGAGATGGAGGCAGTAGACGGGCGGAAATACACACAAGCAGGCGGTCACCACCCCCGCCGCCACTCACACGCACACATACACGCACACATACACACACACACGCACTTTCCCAAATTACACCACCTGCAAAAACTACGGAAGCAAGCAGACGATTTACTGTGAGCAGGTGTTTCTTGCCAAGTGTGTGTGTGTGTGTGTGTGTGTGTGTGTGTGTGTGTGTGTGTGTGTGTGTGTGTGTGTGTGAATTTGCCCAGTGATTCCCTCGTCTGTTACACCATTAGCTGTGTACTTGGAGGGACCTTTAACGCGACCTGCTATACACTTTATGTAAGACTTTCCCAGATTAGCACCTGACGCCACACACACACACACGAAAACTATTGATTTATTGAAGAAGAAAAGTCGAGAACGTTCTATAAGTATATAAATAAGCTAAACATTTCCTCAACAAATAACAAGCTTGCCATGTTTGATAATCTCGGTACAACAGAGACTCCATCATGTTGGTGGTCGCTTAGGCCGAGTGGTCGCTGTAGGTAGAAGGCCAACACAAGGGTTTCGAGTTGGCAGACGAGCATGCCGGGGCCAAGAGGGCAGGGCCGGGCCTAGACACGAGTGCTCTCAAATCACAACACTCATGGCCGTCAATCCCCCAACACGCCCTCGTCCCCACCAGCTACCCTGAACCACGTCTGTCATCTGATCTGAATGTAACGCAACTAGGTCTTGTGAGAGCTAGTGTTGGAAATTATCTGAACCAGACTTTAATAGACGATACCTTACAGCCGAATCTAGGTAAGCAAGGTGTTGAAGTTGAAGCTTAACCGAACATTAGCTGAGACTGGGTTAATTATGTTTCCTGGGGGAGAGTTGGGTGTTAAGTGTATGTATAACCTAACCAAAAATTAGCATCAGGTCATACAAGACAAGACGCTAGCTGAATCCCATGAATATTTGCCATAGTTTAGGACTACTTACACTCCTGTAGCCACGAGAGACTGAGTTCCTAGTTTAGGCAAATATAACTGTCCGTGTGTGGTAAATATGTTAAGCATCTCAAGCAGGGGAGACCAGGCACTGGCGAGTACGTGTTGTTGTGATGAAACAAGCACCATCACCTGCAGAGGATTTTATACAAGGCACAACAATAAAGATGAGAGACGGAGAATTAAGGTCACACATTGCAAAACATAAACGAAAATTGTAATACCGAGAGAAATAAACTTAGACAATGTACATCAATGACAGACGTGTACAAGAATATTAAATACCGTCACAGAAGCGAGAAAGGCTTTAAAATTCATATACGGTATAATATAATACATAATTAACATCTTGTTCTGCTCCCAAAGGTCATACCAACACCCTGAGAGCCACCTGCCCTGGGGGTCATATCCCCTACGGCCACACCAACAGGCCAGGGAAGACAAACGTGGGCTGCTCCACCCAGCAGTGCTTGCCAACCCGCCGCCGCATCATCTCACATGGTCGCTTCCTCAACACTATTTTGGTCCAGACCTCCGCGACAAACACCCAGAAGCGGCATGATAAAATTTTCCCCATCTTCTCAGGCGGAAGCGTCCTGAAGTGACGGAGGTGGCTGAAGGTGAGGCAGGACGGCGAAGGGGTCTGGCTCCACTACAGCCAAATTCCTGTGGTACTACATATAACAATCATGTGGCGCTCCCAAGCACTTTCCCTGGGCTTACGGGGACTTTCCTTGCGTTGGGGAGATTTTCCCTCGGGTGGAAACTGTTATCGTGGGAATGACCTGGAGGGAGTCTCCGTTAACAAAGCTGTGACGTTTTAAAACTGGGTGTAAATACCAGTGTTATGACGATGTAAGTGTGCCGAATAAATTATCACCACGAGTGGACCTGACGCGGGTATAGTACTATATGACTGGATAAACGGTGTGTTATACAGACCTGCTCCAGGGGTGAATATAAATACTTCAAGAGGTTGCTGGTGAAGTAATTAAGCCTGTATAAAAGTTGTGTCACGTTGGGTGGTGACAGCTCGGCGCCTACTGCTGGCTGCCGTCTCTGGGGATAATGGCGGCCTTGTTTATCTCTTGATGTACACCTGTTTGCTCCTAGTTCCTCTCCTCCACCACCAACCTTAAGCTTTCACATTGTTTATATTTTTTTCTCTGAACACTGTACCCAACCTACACGTCCACACTGCTGAACTAGTACACATGTTAGTCTGAACAATTGGACCGCAAGATATGTACCTACAGGGACCACGTAATGAACTATGTGTGTACAGGGACCACGTAATGAACTATGTGTACTATGACCACGTAATGAACTATGTGTGTACAGGGACCACGTAATGAACTATGTGTGTACAGGGACCACGTAATGAACTATGTGTGTACAGGGACCACGTAATGAACTATGTGTGTACAGGGACCACGTAATGAACTATGTGTGTACAGGGACCACGTAATGAACTATGTGTGTACAGGGACCACGTAATGAACTATGTGTGTACAGGGACCACGTAATGAACTAGACTGAACAATTCCTCATTTTTTGTTTACCTTTTTTTTACCCCCAACAAATTATGACAACTGGTAGAAAAATACAACCATGGGATCATTACACTCGGAGAACTAACTAGTGATTACTTCAACTTCAACTACTATTTGTAAATAGGACTAGCGTTTACCTTATATCGCTTCCGTTTCTGCAGTACTTTGATTTTCTTGATAATCTGTTTGGATTGAGAGATTCCAAGACGGAGGCGTGAAAAGAAACGATAGAATATATTAGTGGGAAGGCAACACGGGGAGGCAGCTGGGTAAGATGGTGGTGAGAAATGTGGACAAAAACGGAAAATGAAAAACAGAAAGATTAACAACAGATAATTATGTGGTGTATTGTAGAACTAATGAGACAATGGAGGTGCAAATAATGATGACATGGGATAATAATAACAGTAATAACAATAACCTAGACACAACACAACACTCATAACCTGGCAGACAACCTTAACGTCTATGTAAGCAGTAGAGAGAGGCTTTGCTGGGTATGTGGTGCCGAAAGTACAAATAACGACGTGGTTGTGTGGTTTACTCGAGTAAAAAACACCATTTATCACGCTGCAGTCTTCCTTGCCTGACACCTGTAAAAGGCCCAGGTGTTATTTTTCCCACTAAGAAAGTCGAAGTCATTATCTAAACATAACCTTACACTCACAACTCAAAAGTGAATACAAATACTTGAGATATATTTACTAAAATCTAAACTCTTCTAATATATGAACCAAAGTCACATTACCAAAGTCAACTTGTACAGTCGTCTGGTTAAATATCAGTCAATCAAGATGTTTTTCAATGGTGATCCAATTGTTATCTTAATATACTGAATAATGCATACATGATTGGAAGTGGACTGCCCAGATACCAAGGCACCACTCGTTTACATCATGTGTGTGTGGCATTCATTTGCGATTTACTGATAAACTTTTTGCATAAGCCTTTTATATTTCACCTATTTTTGTTTTAATTTTCTTCGTATTGTAAATGTTTTCTAATTTAATTCATCCCGTAGCTAAGGTATTTAAACTTTTACACAAAAAATATACAATGTTCAAGGCCACACTTATAGGTCAATGCGGGAATAATCAGTATCAGTAAAAGATGACCAAAGTTGTTTAGAGTACACGGAGAAACCTGTCAAGTTCAGTATTGCCACACTGGACAACACCTCCCCTTGTCGGAACATGGAACCAACCCGAGCAGCAGTGGTAAGAGGCGAGCTCACACATTACTGAACTATCACATATTATGAAATAAAAATAATCACCATGAAAAAAATATTAATTCCTGGTTGTGATACACGAACAAAAATAATCATACCAAGTACTTATCTTCTACAACAACGAAACAAAGATGGCGGCAGATGTATGGGTGCCTCCTATGTCACCTACCTAAAGGAGTGCACCCAGAAATTCAGTTATCAAAGAGAGAAGCATCAAGTGTAGTTACCTGTACTGCAATATATAAACTAAAATCCAGAAAGAATAGAAAGGGAAGATGAGTGTAGTGATGGTAGGGCCCCTAGCACTCGTGTTGTGATGCTTTTCTTACCGACTTATGGTAGATTACTCGTTGGATCCAGGTAGTGTCGGAGATGGTTCCCTGGACGCGTTGGGCGTAAGGGCGGGCCAGCGTGCCCATCTTGTTGATGACTGTAGCTGCCCGCGTAGACTTTGAGTTGATGAGTACGCGGAGTGCGGTGACCACGTTGAGAGCGTTGGCATACACGTTTGCTGTCTTCCTGCTGATTCTACCTGGAGAGTCTCCCCAAGACTTATTCTCTCGGAATTTTCTGGTGAGCGAGGCATACCTAGGGTCGTTCTCGTCGTCTAGGGCGATGACAAACTCGTCTTGTGAGTAGTCGGGTACATCGGCGTAAACTGTTTCGGCATTGTCTTCGTTGTCGTCCACATACCGTAGTTCATCCATGCTGATGGAGCCTGGGACAAGAGCCTGTTCTGCCTCCAGCACAGCGTCTTCGTCTGCCTCTTCAACTCGTCGAAGATTCTTTGGTATATCATAAGTTGACAAAAGTTTGGCCAAAACCTCTTTCTTGCAGTCGTCGTCGATCTCGGCATTTGCACCAATGCGGCGACTGACAGCCTCTAACTCGAGTGCTAACTCCTCCACCAGTTGACTGAGTTTATTGCGGCCTGTTGACTCAGTGTCTGAACTCTCTATCAGTGAGGAATCTGAAGCTACGAGAGGTCGAGGTTCGGGAGTTTCTTCGAGTGACTTAGACGGAGGAGCACACTCAATCCGCTCCACCACCTTAACCTGTGTCGTGGGGCTCAGTGACACTGTTTTGCCGGAGTGCTTAGGCGGAGAAACTGCGGGGGTATTGTTAACGGTGGGCCAAATGGGTGCAGATGAAGTTAACGGCGATGATGGAGACGTTGGCGAAGAGGGTGAGATTGGTGATGGCAAACCTGAGGGGGCAGCGTACCCCGGGTTGTTGATGGTGATGACAGCTGGACGACTTGGGGTAATTTCTCCAACTCTCACCGTCACCTTACCGTAGTCTGACGAGGTAGAAGTCTGACTGTAGAAAGAATCACGTTTTCGTTCAGCCTCCTCCTTGGGTGTTAGCGGCAGAGGTTTGGTGTATATAGGTTCTTTAGATTTAGCCTTACTGTGGGATGGGTCTCTAGGCAAGGTTCCCGATTCTTTACGCACCTTGCTGTATATCGGTTCTCTCGGTAAGGTATTGCTTCTGGAATCTTTTGGTTGTATTTTACTGTAGATGGGTTCAACCTTTTTGGGCAAGGCGGGGGCACCGGTACCTACAAGAGCAAATGGGCTGCCCGGCGTGATTGGCGCACTGACAGGACTAAGGGGAACAAGTGGAGCCCCAGGATCTCTCGGTTTCACAACACTGTAGATGGGCTCAGGTTTCACAACTCCTGCACTGCCGACCTGTGACGTATTTTTTGCTGTGTTAGGTTCAATAGGCTGAAAACTCGTCTCTATCGTAAGTTTCGGCTTAATTTTGGCGTAAATCGGTTCCTTGGAAGAGTCTTTCTTCCTCATAATCCTGCTGTATATGCTCTCCTTCTTGGTGACACCCGTCTTAGATTTCTGAGTTGTGGTGGTGGTGGAAGTCGTCGACGCTGCAGTGCTCGTCTCTGAGGTTTCCTCTGTTGTCTCCGCCGAGGCAACTGTACTCTCTGTCTTTTCTGGCGTGATGGCAGTGAAGGCTGACGAGGTAGTTTGCTGCCCAGACATGATGCTGGTGAAGGCAGACTGACCTTGATCTTGATCATCTGAGGTACCGGATGTACAAGCAGATATGCTGCCCCCTGTTGTTTCAGATTTTACTAAAGTGAATGCAGATTTATGTTCTGTAATTTCTGATGGTACAGAAGTAAAAGCTGACTTGCTCTGCTCTGTGTTTTCTGACGCTACAGATGTAAAGGCTGACTTCAAGTAACCACTGTCACATCTAACGTCGGAGAGTGTGACGTCAGAGTCTGAGAAGTAGCCGGAAGTGAGACTCTCGGCCCTGCAGGTGGAGGATACGCTCAGTGTGGTCGAGGTGCTCTCCATGGCCTTCCTGTGAACGATGCCTCTACCAGCAGTCTGTCGGTGGGTCACCTCAGTTACCGGCAGAGTCTCGTCACAGATATTGACTACTTGCTCGCTGGGCTCTTGACTCTCGCCGTCGGTGGAAACATCCAACAGTGCCTTTTTATCACTAACACTCACTGTTACCTCGTCTGCTGCTTCAGTTTCCACTTTTTGACGTTTAGTTTTCAAGGTTTCGGTTATGTCCGTTATTTTCTCCACTTCTTTCATCACTTCAGACATGAGACTTCCTCCACCTTCAACAGAGGAGGAAGTTGGACGCTTAAGAGGTTTGTCCTCAACGATGGGGCTGGGCGACGAAGCAACCTCTTCTGACTCCTTAATGTCGTCGACAGGGTCTGGCAACGACGCGGCTCCAATTGCATCCAGCCACTCCCCAGAGGTACTTTCGTCTGCGTCGGGTTCACAGTAACTATTGGGTCGTGACCCTGATGTAATTATCACCTCTGCGGCACTAGTTGGTCGCGAATCAGCCCTTGAAGTCCTGACGGAGTCAGGAATATCCCCATCAGAACACGGGGTGCTCCCTAGCGGCACACTCTTACGCTGCTGCGACTTAGACCGCCGAGAGGGCGAAAGTTTGTCTACAGACATACTGAGTCTGTGCTTGATGTTTCGTAATTTATCCATCTTGCGTCACTAACAACTACTAGAATAACTAGAAAATCCTCCAAGAGTACACTTTACTATAATATTAAAGGAACACGAGAACAACTCCTCCGTCTCAGGATTTAACACACACTAGTTAATGACGAGTTGTGCTACACCGTCACCCAGGGTCACCACAACACTACGCTTCCCGGCTACAGTAAGTGGCAGTGTGCGTGCTCCTTGGCCCTCAGTAATATGAACCAAGAATTACGGTCGCCGCGGGTGAAGCTCCACATGTGATTCTCCTCTGTATAACTCCAGCTTGTGTATAAAAGTTTAGGGGCTGCGCGCATGCATTTGACAGGCTGCACGTATCAAATTTCCGTAAGCTTGGCAGGTAATAAGATCAACATACCCAATTACAGGCTTCCCCTCTAGTGATCTCTTGCCACTGTTTACAAAATAAATTAGTTGTGGGTATTTCCTCACTGTTATAATACACTCAAGTTTTCCTTCAATCTATCACTGTCACTCACACTACATCAAGGACATGAGTAACACTCCCTCACTCGCTCTCTCCTCGAGGCAGCTCTTGGCGTGCCTCGACACCTGCCTTACGGAGGTGGAGCGACAAGGTGGCGGTGGTCGTGTGCTGGGCGGCAGCAAGCTCGGCCCGCGCCCTCTCTCACTACTCTACCCGGCAACTAACTCTCCCTCTTGGCGCCCGATGCCAGCTTCCTAGTGTTAGGGGGAGAAGGAGGGGTGCCACGCTGCCAGCCGCACCAAGCAGTCAGGCAGATGGTGTGCCAGGGAGCCAGACTAAGCTCACTTAACTCGTGATGTTACTCTGGTGGAATGGGTGGCCAGGGAGGGACAGGGTTCTTATTTTTCCTGTTATGATGAAGCTAATGGCGCAGAGGAATGCCAGGAGTCCTTAAATTCCCATTTTAAAAATTTAAAAAGAACGGGTAAGGCCAAGAAGGTAGGCACGAGGGAAAGGGGCAGTGGGGAGAGGAGGCACCGGGGAGGAGAGGTGAGGTGCTGGCTCTCTCCCCTGCAGGTGGAGCGCGTAGCTCTGACCATCACCCACCACCAAACTGCACTACGTCATGTTAACTCTCAGCCGTCGTGTGTGTGTGTGTGTGTGTGTGTGTGTGTGTGTGTGTGTGTGTGTGTGTAAGATTATATGAGTCGAATACTGCAGTGACAAGGTCTTATCCCGCCTCTATCCGTGGGTGATAGAGAGTGGTAGTAACTCTCGACAGGAGCTGCCATGCGCAGGCCAACCGGCCTATTGCAGACTCCTTATTTTCTTATGTTCTTATGTCTTTGAAACCATTAATAAACACAACCCATAACCTTTCAAGTTTTATAGATCAATACGACTACAATCCTTACCATTGAAATTTTATACATAATATCGGAAAGGAAGGTTAGGTTAGGTTAGGTTAGGTACTTTGTTACATAACCGATTCCCGCGCACTGCTCACATATACAATCGAATCATATACTGTATATACTCATTTATCGTAACTCCTACAGTGAAAATATTCTTAAACCAGAAACATAAAACTAAGGTGGGTTTTGTACCAGTATTTGAAACCATGTCGTTAGCCCAAATGTATCTTCAAGAATGGCTGTTTCGAGACTAAAGCCTAATGAGAGGAGGCCGCCAATGTGTCTAGTCTGGACTAGAGAAAACATACACTCGACACCCTGGCAGGAATTTTACAGCCGACGTCTAACCCGAAGAGAAGCAGCATTCCTAGCGTCCCTGATGCCTCAACTCATGACACTGTTTCCTCGTTATTTTTAAGTTATTTCTATCCGTTTGACCGTCTAGTGTCTCTCTCTCAGTCTCTCAGCACCACGGATAGTGTCTCAGGAACACCGACTTAACCATCTCCCATTCACTACTGAGAACATTTAGGAAGCCTCAGCGGTGGACCTCCAGGCGTTACCTTACGAGCTCAGTGCCCCCTTTGAAGACCTTCCCCCAGACACAGTGTAGTAGGATAAGCTCTCTAAGTCCAGGGGAATATGGAAGGATTTGAACCTACTCACAACTTAGCGAGGATCAGCTGCTCACACGTAGTAACCATTTCTATGGATTCGTCAGGGGTCTTAAGCGTATTTACATGTCTTGAAGTGACTGTAGTATTGAAGCACAGATGTTTACCTCCACCCCCTCTCACCACCGTGCCCCACACCCCTCTCTCTCTCACCACCTTGTCCCCCCCTCTCACCACATCAAGTCACCAATGATAACATAAACTAGATATCAAAGGAAGGATTGTATATGATATTTATATACGGTATCATTTATATCTAAGACTCCTACACACTACATACACTTTAGTCCTCCTTAGTCGCTCCTCAACGGTAAGCAACGAGTTTATATTTCTCACACAGGGATAATTTACCTCACATAAATCACACGTATATAACGGAAGCAATTTCTTGATTACATGAGCCGTACAGGTAAGCAGTACTCTGAGTTTACGTGGTGTGTTTAGTGAGTCATAATTCATCTTTTAGTATAAATAAAAAAGCTATGAGCATTTCCTTTTTCGCGAACTCTAATTTTTTGCCACTGACAACTATGCTGAGCTGGGACTTGCGCTACTAGGATGATTTTATTTATTTATTTTTTTACGACAATGAATCTCGCTAAACTTGCCTGAATCTTGGTAAGTTAGGATGAAACTGTCTACACTACCCTACAACACCCCAGACCATGGCGAGATATGCTTGGCTGGGCTGCGACCTCCGTAGGCTGGGCCGGGCGAGCTGGTGTACCTGGCAGAGTGGAGTATAGCGGCTGCTGTATTTTTGGTTTAACCGTGGACCGCCTGTCAGTGATCACCTGTACACACCCGACCTCCTGCCCTCACTCACTCACCCAATACCTTGTACATCTAACCGCTGCACCAGATACTGTCACTGTTAATAGCAGCTTCTACTTACGTGAAATGTACGAGTATTTATGATAATTCTTAAAATATATAATTGGCAACGTTAGGTTAGGTTAAGTTGGGTTAGGTTAGGTTTTGGGGATTAAGCTACACCAGGTTCTGTACTGACACTCACTCACCCCCACACCTTGAATGTTTTAGCCTGACACAACACACAACAACACGCTGCTATGTTTATCTACAGATGGAGGCCAAGCGAGCAATCTGATGGTGGACTATTACAAATAATTATAACTTCCTCCTCTACCTTTCTTTCCCATCACTTAATTGTGTTCATCTAAGCTTTCTTCTCTTCTTATATCTTCCACTTCCTGTCTTTCTTATGTTTTGTGTATCCTTCCTTCCTTACTTTTTGTCCCACTTAATCTTTTCTTTTGTGTGTTTTTTTTTTATTCTCATTCTTTTCACACTCCTTGTCTTTCACCTCAAGTCTTCTCTCTCTTCCCCCCTACACCCCCCCTCATCCTCCCTTCACCCCCCCCCACCACAACATTCTTCACAGGCACCGTCACACACACACACACACACACACACACACACACACACACACACTGACTCTTCGTGGCAGAAATAATTACAAGGGCAATATAATAAAACAAACAACAACATACAAACGCTATGTTCATCTCCCCTCAGCCACGTGACCTCTCTCTCATCTTCACTCCCAGACGACATACTCCCCAGGTCCTGTTTAACTCAGTAACTCCCCAAGCTATAGCAACACCCCCCGTTAATTCCCTTCTATGGCAAATGCTTTCCCCCTACACAACCCTATATAGTGAACTTATACACCTTGCCAACTCCTTAACTCCCCGGGTATAGAAATCCCTCTCCCTTCCTCCCTCCCTGGTTTCTCCCACCCTCACCATCCCTCTTCCCTCACATTAACAGTCTTGTGCTCTCCTCTCAGGCAGTCTTGGTAACCTCAGTCACAACATCCTCTGCCGTATGCCTTCTCAAGTGTCTCGTTATACCTTGTCCACATGCAAACGACTCTTGAACTTACCAGCCCACACTATAGCCCCTACCATCCCTCCTCCCTTCCTGCAGCGTCGGCTCTTGAAGGCATATTTACGAAGTTCCGCGAGTGTTTTACGATACCACTGGCGACTACATCCATCAGATTGGTCGAAACACGTATTGAACAGTAATAATAGACGCTGATTTCCATTGTTTCCACGACCTGACCTGACCTGACCTAACCTAACCTAACCTAACCTAACCTAACCTAACCTAACATAACCTATCGGAGAGAAGTGTCATATATGGTGCTACATAATGCAAGACTTGGTAAATGTGTCACCCAGGTTGAGGGGAACGGCGGGGTGTGGAGGCCTCATCTGTCTCCTGGTCGCCTCTCCCCCACAGCTCACACCTGCCTAGTTTTGGCTTCCGTGTGACGAGGCAAAGGAGCTTATGTCATCACCAGGGTTGTAGTGTGTGTGTGTGTGTGTTAATCGTGAGTTTTGTTCAGTTGTGATGGCTAGTTATAAACACACGAGCGAGGGGTGGCAGGAGAACAAACCCACTGACACTAGTAACAGTATATGGGACGTGGGGAGATACCGTGGGTGAGCTGGCACTCGACCCCCACCTGGTGTGGCCCCCCCCATGTCTCCCTCACCTGGCACCGTGCCATCCTACCACCCTAGCCTCACGCTTATTAATCTATAGTCACGCTGCCACACTCTACAAATCGACACCTGAGTCAGGCACTGAATCAGCGGTACCCAAATACCCGAACACTGCCTGACGTAGTGCGACAGACTCATTCATGTAACTGCAGACAAACACACAAACCTGCGCCACAAGCACTAGAAATTAAAGTCTATAATATACACACATCCTCACACGAGCCTCTAATGGAAAAATAAAAACTATATTTAGGTAAACTGACTTAGCTTCTGGTAGAAATCAGTACAGGTGTGACTGAAAACGATAAATTGAGAGACACTGTACAGGCATCCATTACACCTGGCGGGGTCTCTACCAACATTCAAAATGCCAAATTAAAGCAATTCACAGTTTCAACACAAAAAACTAGGCCTAACACTTAAGTTGCTA